CTTCATGTCTCTTCTACATCAACACGTGTCCCCTCTTCTTCATGTCTCTCCTACATCAACATGTGTCCCCTCTTCTTCATGTCTCTCCTACATCAACATGTGTCCCCTCTTCTTCATGTCTCTTCTACATCAACATGTGTCCCCTCTTCTTCATGTCTCTTCTACATCAACATGTGTCCCCTCTTCTCCATGTCTCTTCTACATCAACATGTGTCCCCTCTTCTTCATGTCTCTTCTACATCAACATGTGTCCCCTCTTCTCCATGTCTCTTCTACATCAACATGTGTCTCCTCTGTGGAAAGAGACTCTGAAAGTTTCAGGAACAAAGATTCTCTCTCTTTTTGTCCTGATCCATTTCTATAAAAACCTGTCTGAAAATGAGCTGATCAGATTTTGGCCACTTTGTGATGTCATAATGATGTTTTGTCTTGTGTAACCATTAACCAATCAGCAACCAAGGATGTAACCAAGCAACCAAGCAACCCCCCTTATCACCTGAATCTCCTCCTAGAGCACCATTGAGTTCTTTTTAACCAAATGTCTCTCAGAGGGGCGTGGGGAGGGGCTCCTTATTTTCATCTAAAGTAACAGACAGAGAATCAGCACTTTGGAAACAGGGCTGAAACAGAGGGGATTATGGGTAATGCTGCAATGATCTGTTTGGTGTTTCAGCCAATCAGAGACAGGTTCTGTATATATCTGAGACCTGTGATATATTGATGAAAGACAGGATAATAGGCGACCTTTAATTAAGCTATCTCACCCCTCCCATCAGCGCTCACTCCCCAGCTAAACACCTTCTTCGTCTCTGTTTCCACAAGCCAATCAGAGCGCATCGTCACATCTTTAAATCTGCTCTCTCCCCTCCTCACAGCTGTTGACTCGACGCCACCCTTTTGCACCTCCTTTTCCTCATATCCAGGGTCAAATCAAATCACTCCCTTCAAGACCGGTTCTCCGACAAAACCCTTCATCCCTCCTCCTCACATCATGCTCGGTTTCCCCTTCCCCAAATATATTTCAGCAGGATGGGGGCTAATAATAGCCAAACACTATTACATTAATCTCTGCAATAAATACAAATCAAAACATAGTCTCTCCTGATTTTACTACAGCTGAAGAAATGTGTAGCTAGAAAACTTGACTGGACATAGATCTGTTAAAGGGTGTGTTAGCTGGTCCTTGATCTGTGTGCTTTTGTTATCTGGATGTAGTAAATGGTAAAAGTGAGTGCTTCTTTGATGGACTTTGGTCTGTAGTGTCGTACGATTTGTCTTCGGTTAGTGATGTCATCAAAGACTAACCAATCCACTCTCACTATGCTGAGTCTTCCTTCCAAAACTGTAATACAATTGTTTTGAATGATAACAAATAAAATCAAACTTTCGTTCTAATTGCACAACTTTGACTCATGTTGACTTTTTTGTATTAAATCTATCACAGCAATGCTAAATGGAATATGAATAAGGATATGTTACGCATTATGTATTATCTTTACCTCAATATTTTTAGGATATGCTGTAAATTGTAAGTGTACAGTCTAGCCTTTAGGTGGCGCCATAGCTCACACGAGACCAGATGTGTGAGAATGAGACTGTTGTAAGGACACTTTTTTAGCTGTTTCATTCCAGTTCATTGTCCAATTATTGTAATAAATAAATACATTTAATATATAAATATTAAATAAAAAGGTGTACTAAAGTACATCTGTCTCCAGAGCTCAGAAAATATATTTTTAAAAGCTAAGAAGAGCGGAGACTAAACCCAGGAGTTTCACAGATCAGGAGAACAATTACATTTACTGTTTCATTTGTTTGAATTAAGGTGAGCTCTTGAAAACGTCAATTTTAAATTCCCAGGTCAAATGCTTTGCTAAACCCCATAAAGCTGTTCCTGTAAATATACGAGTTCCCTAACATATTAGGAAGGTTAGAATGATTGCATTTTGGTTTAATTAAGAGCTAACCTGATGCCAACATACATACTAAGACGGAAATTACTGCAGAAAGCACTTCTGCCGGTAAGAAACGGGTACCTCCACTGGTACCAAAGGGGACAATAGAATAGATAGAAAACAGAAAACAATATTGACCAACATAACATTTCATTTTCACTGATGGTTTTATTTTAATGTATTGTAATATGTTCACATGTTGCACCCTTTGGCACTGTTTCAGTCAAATTGACCTACAGAATACATAACTGAATATTAACATGTATATTCCCTATCCTTTATTTTCTTAAACCCATTTACTAACTCCCACCTCTTATGAATTTATTTTAGAAGTTACGGGAGAATTTACCGGGAAACAAAATCAACATCTGTCCCATTAATGTGAAACTGTGTTTTCCGAAGAGCCCTGAATGCAGCACGAGGTTTGACAGCTACAGAAACAAACATGGCGGATGCTAGCTAGCTCAACGGTCCAACATTAACGTCTTTTATTTGAAATTAACAGCTGTCAGGAAATAACGAAGGACGGTACCGATTCTCAGTGAGACACCGTGAACAACTGACCTCCATACTTCACCTTTACCGGGTTTTTATTCAGCAGTTGTCCGGTGTGTAGAGGCGGTTTGTTAGCTTCAGGAGAAACACAACAACAGAGCTGTCTTCCTCCTCTCTGCCCTCATGTTTAACAGGTAAGACACGGTTTTACTAAAATACTAATAACGATACACTTTATTTAATATACAGCACCTTTCAAACATAATTACAAAGTGCTTTAACATACACATACGAAGACAGCAAGGGAATTACACGGCAGCATCTAAACATGAAACATAGAAATAATAAAACAAAGAATACATGAAAAATATAATTAAAACAAGGTGTGTATAGGTCATTATACACCAACAAAAGATGCTGTCTGTGTATCTGCCTTCATTGTGTTTATTGTCAGACAGTCTACAGATGTTTATCCTTCACGGTCACCTTTCATATTTTACGTTTGTTTATTTTCTACTCAAAAATGATGTGTTTAAAAGTAATATCACATATAAAATCCTCCTCATTTAGGTCAGTACTGGAGTGGGTCATGTCTCTGTGTTTCAGGTTGTATTTCCGGCTGTGTGGCTCTCAGCTGGCACACAATGGACAATATGAGATTCAGAGATAAGACAAGATGGTGTTGTGATACAGAAAGGCTTTAGAGAGCTTAGTGAAAGTCTAGTTATCACATTAGCCCTGAGCAGAGATGGCAAAAGTACACACATCCTTTACTCAAGTAGAAGTACAGATACTCGTGTTTAAAAATACTCTGGTGAAAGTAGAAGTACTGACTAAACTTCTTTATTCAAGTCAAAGTAAAGAGGCTTTGAAATGTACTTCAGTAAAAAGTACCCATAACTAGCAGCTGTTTTAAAGAGTACCTGACCCCCCTTTATATTAATAGAACAATAATGTCATTGTTAGCTAATGAATTACTCTAAATAATAATGATCACGCCACCAAACACAGATTAAAACTAAAGTAACCAGCCTGTTTGGAAAATGTGAGAAGTAGAAAGTACAGGTATTTGTGTTCAACATGTAAGAAGTAGAAAGTACAGGTATTTGTGTTCAACATGTAAGAAGTAGAAAGTACAGGTATTTGTGTTCAACATGTAAGAAGTAGAAAGTACAGGTATTTGTGTTCAAAATGTAAGAAGTCAAAGTCAAAAGTCGTCAGAAAAATAAGTAGTGGAGGAAAGTACTGATAACATGTACTTAAGTACAGTAACAAAGTATTTGTACTCCACTACTTCCCACCTCTGGCCCGGAGTCACCACCGTAAAATCAAGTGTATTCTCTGGCCCCTAACATTTTAATCAAAGTGAATATTCCACTGAGCTTATATTCACATATTGTGGTAGGTAAATACGTATACATATAAACAGACCGGCTTTCACAGCATCTTTTGTTTGTCTATGAGGACACGTACAAAAATGATAGCTCCACCCATGGCTAATTCATTAGATAATCCTCATCACTGCCTACTCCCAATGATCACTTACATTCAAACTAGCTGCACCTTTACCAGCTTTGAGAACACTTTCATGATCAATCATTATAAAACATATCATATATATTATTCTGAAATGATTTCAGAATAATATATATGATATGTTTTATAATGATTGATCATGAAAGTGTTCTCAAAGCTGGTAAAGGTGCAGCTAGTTTGAATGTAAGTGATCATTNATCCCCAGCAGCTCCATGTGGAACATCAACAGACCAACATCAAGACACATGAGAAACAAACAACAAACATGTAACATCACAGCAGGATCAGTTCGAGCTGCTCAAAGCCTTCAGCGTGCATCTGATCTGTAGCTCTGTGTTCACTGAGAGGACTGGCTGGAGCACAGAGGATGCTTCAGGCTGTCTGGAGCACAGAGGATGGTTCAGGCTGTCTGGAGCACAGAGGATGGTTCAGGCTGTCTGGAGCACAGAGGATGCTTCAGGCTGGCTGGAGCACAGAGGATGCTCGCAGGGCCCTGTATCTCCCGTTAGATAATTGTCTAAGTGTCATGGTCATGTGAACACAGACATGCTCAACGTACCGATGTACTTGTAGGGTTTCCCCAGTTTCACCAGCTGTGTGAGGCAGCGCTCCACGATGCCCGCCGTCCATTTGTTCACCAAACTCTGGCTGTAGTCGTCATTTCCCACCACCCCCTCGATACACTGAGAGAGAAAAACACACACACACACACACACACACACACACACACACACACACACACACACACACACACACACACACACACACACACACACACACACACACACACACACACACAGTCATGAGGAAGTCACCGGGTGCTGGTTCAGCCCGAGGAAACAATGCAGCGTAGGAGCCTATTTATCACATACTGTTTAAACATAAGAATAGTTGATCGGGTTATCGTTACCTCTTTCACGATGCTATCCGCCTCGTCCGAGTGGAAAGAGCTCTGAAAACGACAGACAATGAAGGTTATCATTTCATATCAGATGCTTTTTAAGCATTCTCATTAAAAACCACTGAAAAATATCATTCAATCACCCTGTAGCCTGTTTTATAGTATGTCATAATGATCTAAGGACATCTTACATATGGGTAGAAAGCATTTTCTACAGTCATAATGAAACTATATTTCCCTGATTATACAAACATACTGTTTCTGAAGTAACACTTTCACTGCATGACTTTCAGTTAAACAAAGCAGTGTTTTATTATATATAATAATGAAGTTAAGGGATCACTGGCAAACATATTACAACAGCTAGCTATAATTTAAAACAGAATTAGTACAGTTAGGTACAATCTCACTTTCAGCACCCTGCTACCTAACATTATAACCAAGTCTTAGCTCATGCTGGATATTCTACACAGTGTTATTTAATGATTTTAAACCAAAATACTTCAAAAATCATCTTTAGGAGTGGCTAGCTAAGGCTGCTAGCTCGCTCCAAGCTAGCTAATATCCACAGAAATGTATAAAAATACGCAGATTATTGGCATACAACGGGACGAACCTCGCTGCCGCTGTGGTATTCCTCCATTGTTGTCATGTAGAGCGGGTTAAGTTGTGGCAGAGTAGTTTTTTTTAGTCAGAAAAAGAAGAATAAATGAGATTGAAGTGAATCACAGCTTCCTGCGGGCTGTCAACAAAGACCGGAATAAAAAGCCACGAAGAAGAACTGGCAGAGAGCGACACCTGGTGGTGGAAACACGGAACTGCTTTTAAACCTTAATTCACTACTCGAGGTTATTCGATTTAAACTTACCCAAAAAGGTAGAAAGACATATTAAAACATAACCTATGAAATGTTTTCTTTGATAGTACTTCATAAATATAGGTTTTAGACTTACATCTGGATGAACATGTGACCGTGAGCAACTGCTTCTTCTACGTTTATTTAATGGTCTTTTGTTGACATTCTGGTACTTGAGTAAAAGTAGAAGTACTCAGATCTTGTAGTAAAAGTAGAAGTACTCAGATCTTGTACTTGAGTAAAAGTAGAAGTACTCAGATCTTGTAGTAAAAGTAGAAGTACTCAGATCTTGTACTTGAGTAAAAGTAGAAGTACTCAGATCTTGTACTTGAGTAAAAGTAGAAGTACTCAGATCTTGTACTTGAGTAAAAGTAGAAGTACCAGAGTGTAGGAATACTCTGTTACAGTAAAAGTCCTGCATTCAAAATGTCCCTCAAGTAAAAGTAGAAAAGTATTCGCATCAAAATATAGTGAAAGTAGCGACAGTAAAAGTAGTCATTGTGCAGATTGGTCCATTTCAGAATAATATATATGATATGTTTTATAATGATTGATCATGAAAGTGTTCTCAAAGCTGGTAAAGGTGCAGCTAGTTTGAATGACTTTGTATACTGCAGGGTAGCTGGTGGATTTACTCCAGGTGGAACTAAAGTCTGATTTAACACTTGATTAGATTTCACATCATTCATCCACATCTGTGAAGTAACTAAAGGTATTAAATACATGCAGTGGAGGAAAAGTACACCATGTACCTCAGAACTGTAGTGGAGTAGAAGTGTGAAGTGCAGTACCTCAACATTGTACTTAAGAACAGTACTTGAGTAAATGTACTTAGTTACTTTACAACTCTGCTGTAAACAAATAGGCTTTTTATGTTCACCTCGGTATCAAAAGGTTTTATTGATATCACAAAAATCCAACAGGTAAAAAAAGCAGTTGAAATTAGATGATCATATCAGGATATAAAGCCGATGCATCTCTCTTTCAAACAGATCACATCAAAAAGTGCAAATGTGTTCATGGACCACGTCACAATAAATACGATTATATACATCTTTAAAAACATCACACACACACACACACACACACACACACACACACACACACACACACACAAACACACACACAC